ATATAAAAATAAAAATGTTTTGTTTTCATGCTATGGCCTAGTCTCTCTAATATATAGATATATGTAAATCATCACATCATATTTTCATACAACAAAGAAAATTTCAAAAAATATATGTATTAGCATGCATTTTGGCTTTGATAACCGGTTTATTCAAGCCATGAGAACTAGGCCAATATTCCGAAAATTACAAAAAAAATTATTTTGTTTTCTTTTAATATTTGGGGTTACGATCTTATACGTAAGACGTATTCTGGATATTAAATTATTTTGTTAACGTCATAATTACCTAATAAGATAAGGATCTCCTTACTGAGGAGGACTTTTCTTAAACCATACCAATAGCTAGAAAAAACACGGAAAAAACCTTAGATTTTATCGGACAATAAAACAATGCAGCTTACCTTAGGTATGACGTATTTGGGGTGCTAATACCTTTCCTTTACGCAACCAGTCCCCGTACCCAATCTCTGAGACCAGTTAGGGTTCCTAGTGACCAAAATACTAGGTGGCGACTCCCAATCCATTTTCCACCAACAAAAGACAATATTTTCTTATCCCTCTATATTTTCCAGATAGATTATTATACATTTCTAGATAAAAGTGGAAAACCCGCCGCAACGCTGCACACGTGCGACAATCTTTTTTTTTCAAAATACTACTTAGTTGTTTTAAATTAATTTTTCTAAAACTTCAACGAGTTGATTTTGTATAATGATAAAAAAAATGTTGGATCATGGAAATATTTTATATAAGAAATCATTTCGAATCAAATTAATTATTTAGTTCATATTTAAAATTAACACCTTGTTTTTTTATTTTTAAGGCATAGAAGATTTATTTGATAATTGGGATTTGAGTTGATTTATCTGGTGGTTACTTTAATAAAATATATATTTTTCATGGTTAAAAGACCTAATTTCTTTTTTATGGATATAATTAGATAATGAGAGGTTTGAAATTGAAATCTCTTAGAGAGAAAAAGAGACACTAGTACTTGTTGAATTACAACTCATTGGAATTAATTAAATTTCTTTTTTTAATCCACAATTAAACACTTCTTAATTGTTAACTTGGAAGTTCGAAGAGTTCAAGTAATTATTCTATGTTTCAAAATATTCTATGGTGTAGAAAGGATAAAAACCGATCAACAACTCTCTACAAATATAACAACATAAACCTTCGGTTAGGGTCTAAAATTTATCCGTCAAACCTTTTTGAGATGGAAAAAGCTGATGATCTTGTTATCTTTATTGCTTTAGGGACGAGTGTGTATCATCACTCGTTTATTGTTCACCTGGTTAGCTTTCACGAGTACAGTTTCCATTTAGACATATACAGCAAGAAAGAGGAATCCCAGTCCCATTTTTCTCTCCTCCGGCCTCCCCCTGTAAAAGCGATATTCTTAGGGTTCTTGGACTGAATTCTGCAAGCCCTCTTCGAGAGTACCGAGGGACGGGTGGATACAAGTTTTTCAAAGGAAACGGACCCTTACTAAAAACACTTTCAGAGAGCATGCATAATGCTTGGCTTCCTTTTCAATGACTCCCACCACTACTACAATCATAATCCTGCTTTTTCTTTGATGATAAACCCGGATTCACATATGGGTGCAATGCATGCAGAGCGATATAAAGCGATCCTCCTCCCCCTTTTGATTATGTATGATTTTATTTTCTATTATTTCTTAGAAGATATTGATGTACAGATCTCCAGATTATAGCTACCAGTTTTCAGAAGATATTGTTTTTCTTGTAAGAACTTAAAATCATCTGTTTTTAAGGATTTCCAAACTTTTTTTTGGATAATCTAAGGATTTCCAAACTGATGCATGGAGTTGGGATCGTCGTGAACACCAGGGATCAATTTATTCAATTCATCTTCTTCCAAAACAATTTAGTCAATCCATGAGCTCACAATTAATGAACAATATTTTATACCACGTAAAAACTAAAAAATCATCATCAAAGCAAAGTTTAGCGTATGCTTTGAGTATATGATAGCTTTTTTTTAAGTAAAATAAGATTTAAGCTAGATATAGAATTGTTACCAATGCTTTAAATCTTGAGGGATCTAGTGCTTCACATTTTAGGGTATATATATCATCTGTTTGGCCGATCGTCAGAATGTGCATGGATATCCATGCACATGCAATCTTTTGGCGTTTTAATGCAATGATTTAATTATCAAAAAAATAAATAAATACCAAAAGCTACTTTGTGAAATTGTTGTCGCCCCACCAAAAAAAGTTTTGGCCACCCAAGAAAAGCAATTCAGGAAAAGGCCGTATATATCAAAGAAAACATGAATACACATTTCACGTGTAGATTATAATCTCCACTGTTAGAGCCTCTATATAAAGGGTTTGATCATAAGAACTTAAACCATAAAGCCTTTGAACAATAATCACACTTAGCAGAAATGGCTATCAGAGAGATGTCTCTTCTTTTAGGGTTCTTAGTGTTGCTTAGATCATTGGCTCCTACTATGCCAATGACATATGTTAATTGCACAATCCCACATGATCCTACATTTAGCAGAAATTCCTTCCCAGATGGCTTTGTTTTTGGGACTGGCTCAGCTGCCTACCAGGTAGCAAGAATATATGAACTTATCCTTCATGGGATCCAGTCCTAGCAATATGTTTTGTTTGTTACTATATAGTTTATATTTTAATCTTGATTTCTTTCTTTTTTTATATGTAGTTTTATTCCTATATAGGTCAGTGTTGATTGTAGAATCTAATGACAGTAGAGGAGGAAACTATACATCGATCCCTTTTTTAAAGGGCGGGCATGGAATATATAGTTCCTCTCAATCATAATATTCAGAAAAATATCTGTGTATTTCTAGATAAATCAAAGATAATACTCATATATTAAGGAGATTAAGATATCCTCTAAAGCATTACAAACTAGCTTGCATCTATACGTTATTACTTTATTTATTTGTATAATAATAAAAATATAATTTATTTATTAACCATCAATTATTCTATGTTATTTGTCTAATTATTTCTCTATCGTCATTTGAATGATCAATTAAATTTCTTTTTTTCCCTCTATCATTAGGTCTGAAAAAAAGAGAGAGAAAAATTGGTATGGAAAAGAGAATGTTCATTGAGCTTAAGATGTGGACGTCTAAACACATGCCTAATAATGAATAAATCATCGTAATTATTACTCTTATTAACTTTTGGTCAAACTGGAAGCTCCATCAAGGCCTTCGGCTATGGTGGGAGTTGCCTTCTTCAGATCTAATCCCACCCCTTCAAGGGTCCAAAACCTTAAATTCTTGAAGTGGTGAGGACTTTGCTAGTAATTTATGAATAAATGACAAATGTAGGATTTGATCTTCTTACTGATCAGGTCAGAGAATATTCTGTAATATCTAATAATCATACAAATCAAATAGTTATTGATCAATTAATCCAAAAATTTCTTCATAAAAAAATCCCAAAATTTAAGATTTTAGGTAAATTAGCAAACGTAAATTCCTATAGTTTTAGTTAACAGATATTGTTCATATTTTGATAAAACCACAATATAGAGTAATTTTTCAGTATTTATTGTTGTGTATATTGGCAACTAGGTTTTCATATATAGCTAGCTAATGTTGAAACTATCTTTGTGCATGGTGTCTATTCAGTACGAAGGTCATGCAAACAAAAGTAACAGAGGGCCGAGCATATGGGACACATTTACTCATGACTATCCAGGTATCTCAAGCATAAAAAGTCTATGGGAGGAAGGGAGACTGTGATTATACAATACCATGGGCTATTATAATCGGGTCTTAATCTATTATTATTTATTATAATTTAGGGGGGAAATTGGCTATTTTTATTCTCCAGTAAGTTATATTTTTGGAGTTATATCAATTATATACAGCCTCCCAAACAAATTAATTTGAAATGTTATTTGCATGAAATTTTGCAGCCAGAATAAAAGATCATAGCACCGGTGATGTTGCAATTGATTTCTACGATCTCTACAAAGTAAGGAGTGCTTGACAATGTTTTTGTTACAAATGCTTTCATGGTTCAGCACTTGGTAACAATGATCATGGCAGGATGATATTCGTAAGATGAAGGACATGCATATGGATGCTTTTAGATTCTCCATCTCTTGGACGAGAATGATACCAAGTAAGTTTCTTATGGCCTAGAGATTAGAACTGGCAAGGGGCGTCATTTAGGTATACAATGTTTGCTTAATTTTTTATAATTAATCACATTTTATTATAATGATACATCTTTCAATATATGTGTGCTTGAAATAGGTGGGCAGGTGCAATGGGGAATAAATGATGAGGGAATCGAGTTTTACAACAGCCTCATTGATGAAATCATATCGAATGGTTTAGCACATTTAACTCTTATTTCAAAATAATGTTCGGATTATATATATATATATAGTTTTACAAGTAATTTCTTATTTATTTCATATTTACAGGACTTGTGCCTTATGTGACTCTTTTTCATTGGGACACTCCTCAAGCATTGTTTGATAAGTATGGAGGTTTTCTAAGCGAAAACGTTGTGTAAGTTTCATGTTTAATTTTTCATTAAATATTTAAACACCATTAGGAGTGTTTTTCAAGTATTTGTATTCGAATGAAGTCAAAGATTTTAACTTGGATGATGATGAGTTTTTATTAATTATCCAATCGACAGCAATGATTTTCGAGATTTTGCCGACTTGTGCTTTCAAAGTTTTGGTGATCGGGTGAAATACTGGTTTACTTTAAATGAGCCAGACACATACAGTGTTCATGGCTTTGATTCGGGCGTTGGTGCACCGGGACGATGCTCGGCGTGGGTGGATAAAGCATGCCAAGCTGGAGACTCTGCTACTGAACCTTACATAGTCACTCATAATTTGCTTCGTTCTCATGCAGCAGCTGTAAAATTGTATCGGGAAAAGTACCAGGTATAGCAAAACTGATGAGCCAAAAAGATCAATCCATGACACAATTACTGCTTATCTACAGAAGTCGAGTGAAATCTTCTTCCTCGTGTTGTCTTCTGTTAAGTCTTATAATAATGGATTGTACGTAGGAACAACAAAATGGCAAGATCGGCATCACACTCTGTTCCTTTTGGTACGAACCTTATTCAGAGACCCCAGCAGATTATGAGGCAGTTCAAAGAATACTTGATTTCAATCTTGGATGGCGAGTATTTCTTACACTCCTATTATCAAATTCTTGATACAAATATAAAATATAAATTGTCCAAAAAACTAAAAGAGATTTTGATGTTTCTAGGCACTTGAGCCCAATCACTTACGGTGACTATCCAAGGAGCATGAGAAGTTTAGTCGGAGATCGATTGCCGAATTTCACTGCCCAGGAAATCTTAGATCTTCGAGGATCTTATGACATTCTTGGATTAAATTACTATGGTGCATACTATGCAAAAAATCTTACCCATGTTGATCCTGATCCAACTCACCTTCGTTATGCAACAGATTCTCATGTCAATGTTACTGGTAAACTCACAATTAAATTCATAATGATTTATGAAATTGGAAGATAGAACATGGAAAGATGATGGATTTGCTAACTTAAAACTCTGTGAGTAAGAGACGAGATGAAATCTTCACATGGCCTATAAGCGCAAGCCAATCAATGCCTTGATGGCTTGATTCATTAATTAGAATTTAATCAACTTTCATTTAAAAAAAAGCTCTCAAAGTAAGAGAAGTGTTTGACAAATGTGTTTTTGATAGAAAAGAGAACCTGGACAGAAGTTTTATGTTCAAATTTTATAAACTAATGAAAAGAGAATTAAGAGTTCTTAGGGGAAAAACTCAAGAATAAATTAATTTTAATTTGAGCTTATTCAAGCTTAGTGTATTACTATTCATCATTTATTTTCCTTCTTGTTTCACAGGACAGAAAAATGGAAAGCTAATTGGACCGCAGGTTTGTGCGCAGTAAAACCTTTCTGTAAAAATTAACAATCAGATACATTACATTAATATGATTAAATGCTAATTAGTTAATTACTAGAAAAACACATATGATTAACACGGTGTTTCTGAATATGTAGGCTGCTTCACCCTGGCTATATGTTTATCCAAAAGGGATACGATATCTTCTGAACTACACCAAGGATCAATACAGGAATCCAACAATTTATATAACTGAAAATGGTATGGAAAATGTTATCAAATCTCAATTTAAGTGTAGTTAATTGTTATATTGTTAAACTAATCGTGATTTTTTCATTGTTTTGATCTATCATCAGGAGTTTCTGATTTCAACAACGGATCCCAGATATCATTGAAGACAGCACTTAATGATACTTGCAGGGCAAAATACTATCATGACCATCTCAAGAATGTTCTACGCTCCATTGAGTGAGTTTAATCTCTCTCTCTCTCTCTCTCTCCCCCTCTCTCCCTCTCTCTTGCACACACAGCTAGCAACAGTCCACTAATATGACAATCAAAAATCTTGGCAGAAACCATGGGACCATTGTTAAAGGATATTTTGCATGGACATTTGCTGACGATTTTGAATGGCCAAATGGTTATACCATAAGATTTGGTCTCTACTACACTGATTACCAGCATAACTTGCATAGATACCCTAAGAGGTCAGTGCGCTGGTTCACAAATTTTTTGAAGGGATACAAGTGGAACAAGGAACCAATGTCGAGCTCTCCATTGCGTTTCTACAGTTCTGCTCCAAGTGATCATCAGTACCTGGATGAATGAAAAGTCATTTTTAAATAATCACCAGGATTGCATATCCAGTGAATTATAAGTTTGTGTTTAATTATTATATATGCTTGTGTTGTGTGATAGATATCTGATGCTTCCAGCATGGACTAGGAATTATCCCTTCCCTAGTTTACCATGATTGGATTAAAATTGTGATGGGACTTATAATTAAATAAAGCTTTATGTTTACTTATTGTCTAGATCCTGTTTTCCCCTTTTCACATTGATCCTTTGGTACGTATAAGAAAAACGGTTGTTTCGTATTAATGCATGTTCAAATATTAATCAAATTATATATATACAAGAAAATCATCAGGCTAATGTTAGAATTGTTAGACAGTGAATATTCAACACGAACACAATCAATGGTATAAGATGAAACAGAAATCAACTTCGAATTCTATTTTATTTGCTCTTAAGGTTCCTTATTTAACAGCATTTTTGCAAAAAATATTTGAATCACACACTTGTAGAATTGGTCAAGAAAGCTTGGGATGTCCTCTCATAGTAATAGTTATTAGAAGAAGAAGCATCAGCTGAGAAGATCATCACTCCATTGACATCAAATCCATTTGCCTCCAGCAGATTTAAAGCATCAAAAAATGCGTCTCCTTGAATGCCCCTTCCATTCACTTCATAGCTAGGTAACAATTTATCCTTATCGAATTGCGTGGCTCGAAGCTGAAAAGCTGCTAAATACCCTTTTGGGCTCCTAACTTTATCAGTATAAAATTGGTGATTGACATAGTCAATAAGATCTCCATACTTATTGAAGAGCTCAATATAGGGCAAAACAGTGGTGTGAAAAGGTGCGATGGTGGCCACAGAAATGACACTTTGGTTTTTCAGTAAGGTAATGAGCTCGCCTATGCAATAAGCGAAACTAGCATTGTTTCTAGGGAAGTTTTCGTAATCGATGTCGATACCATCAAGATGATATTCCTTAGCTAAGGATGTAAGAGAGGTGAAAGCATTATTGATCCAAAGTTGAGGGTTTTCAGGGTTGTACCAACGAAGGACTTCGTCACCTAAACTCCAACCAGAAAGACTTGCCAAGGCTTTCACATTAGGGTGACGCTCCTTGATAGCTGCCACTGATTGTGGGGTTAATGTGTCTGCCCAATATGGTGAGAATTTTCCATTTTGAGGCTTAGCAGATGGATCTGCATCAATGGCAAAACTAAGTATGAAGTGGAAGTCAATGTTGTCTTCAACTGGAACAGGATTAAATGTCACGGGTTGGCCTGTGGCACCAATGTACTCCATCATCACCTTCGCATCTGATCGGAGTTAGAATAACAATGTATATATCAAGAGTTAGTAGATTCCAGCCGATATAGATTTTCTTTCCAGAGGTGGAGAAATACTCTTGATGATCATTTCCTGTTTTCTTGTAGAAAATCAATTATACAAATAAAAATAATAGATGAAAACTCCTTGTGGCTCATATTTTGTTTGTTCTCTCACATACATTGCTGATGACAGTCGTGATAATTATCAGTATGAACTAGCTGATCATATGTGTAGGGAGTGTTAATTTGAAGCTACTATTTTAACTTTTAGAATGAATAAATAAGAAAGGAAACAAATGAATGCCTGGCCCAATCAATATAAATAACCTTTCTTAAAGGAAATACTGGATTCTAAAGTCCTCTTATTTCTTTTCTTTTTTAACAAAAAAAAAAAAAACACTCCGAAGGATCAGACAGCGTAGGGCCAATTTTTCCTTTTATTGCGAAAATCAAAGGGAAATAGATGTACAGTTTGTTGTCCTACAGAAATCGTAAAATTTCTATTGTTTTGACATAATCATATCTTTGAATATCTTGAAATCCAAAAAATAAAAAACAATTATATAAAAGCTAGTATATAATCAACAAATGAATCCATTAACTTTTATTTTTATTACAATGGGATACAAAGATTAGTTTTATGTTCTTGAGATATTATTAAAATCTCAAACAAATTAACAAAATGTTATCACATAAAAGCTCAGATATAAATACCACAGCATTGGTGACCAAGGAGAGCAACTCTAGCAACACAGAGGAGAAAGAGATGAACCTTGACGAACCTCATGGTTTTCTGCTGTTTGTGTGATTAATTGGGAAGATCAAAGGATTAGTACTGCATGTTAACCTATATATGGTCTCTTTACGAGCTTAGCCATCCAGCCTAGGGAGTAAGGAATCAGATGTAAAAAGAAAAGCCTAATATATTAAACTGGCAGTAAATTAATCTATTTTTGTGACATTTTCAAGGTATCATTGCAGATTTTTCCAAGAAAAGACTGCAGCATCTTTCTTATATTAGCCGGCCGGATTGAAAGACTAATTGATTTCAAAGATTTTATGACCAACATGGATTTAAATGATATTGCCGGCAGGAACACAGACGCAAAGAATTTGAAGCAGTCAATGACAACATAGGAGCACATCTAAGGCAATGCTGCAAGAAAGGCCAAATTCCTCCCCCGCTCTTTCCCTCTACTAATTGACTCCAGATTACACTCGATGATAGCTAGACTATTAGTCATATAGTGGCCGGCCAACTCTCAACCCAGTTAGTTTCTGAATCTGTAATTTATATGTAGGATTTTTCTTTTTTCTTTTTTCTTTTTTCTTTTATCATCGATCAGGAATTTCAATTGATCTTGTACTAGACAATGGAAGCATTCTTTTTCCATCTCTAAATCCCACAATGCCCCTCAAAGGATTTGAATTGAGAGATGCAAGTTGCTATGCTGTCCATATCTTTCTAGGTGCATGCAAAACTTGATATGAAGTTATTTGAAATGATATGTATTTTCTTTTGTATTTGCATGTTATTGATCCATCATTTTTTTATTCTCATATTGATGGTATTTTAAATAATTCAAGTAGATTAGAAAAAAAATCTCAAGTTAAATAATCAATTAATTAATTAATCTTTTAATTTTATCATTTAATTTTAGTATAATAGTTAATATCTTGTATATGATACTTGATAAGTCAAGATGGTTTATTATTAATACCTATAAAAGAAATATTATTATTTAAAAAAAAAAATTGGTTTTTAGAAAATTATTTTTCAAACTTTCTTGTGTTTATTTGTCATTAGAAAAATTGGTTAATAGAAAACACTTTACAGTAAAAAAAAAAATTGACTTAGTTTTTAGAAAAGTATTTTCCTGAAAAATTTAGGTGTAAAACACTTTCCGGAAGTTGTGAAAAATTTAAAAATATCATTATTTACTGATTATATCAAATTTGATCCTTAAACTTTGGATTGCTATATATATTTTGTTTTAAATATTTATTTTTTAATTTCATCTCTTAAAATTTAATTTTTATATTAACTTTGATCTTTATTTTTATAATTGCTATTTGCTTTTTTCTTATCATTTTTTATTGAAATTTTTTATTTATCAAATTTGATTCTCATTTTTTTTATCGTTACTTATTTTATTTGAAATAATTTATGAAATGTTGATTATTATTATTTTAATTTCTTTATATTTTATTTTTTAATTTTTTAGATTTGATCTCTATTATTTTGATTATTATTTATTTTATTTGAGTTAATTTATGAAATTATATTTTTTTTAATTTTATTTTCATTCAACTATTTAATTTGTAAGATTCGTTTCTTATTATTTTAATAAACTTGAGAAAAATATAATATTAAAAAGTTATTTTTCAATTAATTTTCCATGACATAACCAAATATTGGAAACTGTTTTTCAATTTATTTTTTATTATGCTATCAAATATTATAAAATAATTTATTTTTAAAAAATTTATTTTTCTAAAATTTACTTTTTCAAAAAAATTAATTTCTAATAAACAAACGGATTTAGGGAATCAATTGAGTATTGTGGATGAAATTGAGAACATGGGTGGTCGGTCACACGGAGACAATTTTGAATTTAACTCGCCTGCGTTATGGATTGTTGGTTTACCTCACTCACCTGCGTGATTTTTAAAAAAAAATAAAAGTTGATTAAAGATTGTATTGATTAAATTAGAAACCAAAGATTCTTTTTAGGTGGTGCCGAAATCCTGGTGTTGAATTACATGGAAATGGCCATTGCAGGTGAAAACGGCGCCATTTCAAAACAAACCGTTCATCTTCTTCGTTCCACCTATTCAGCAGAAAACGACAGCAGATCGTGGTCACGTTTCTCTCCCCCACGATGCATGCCGTTACCAAGGCATGAACGCATGGCATTCTCTGAATTTGTAAAAGCCAGAGAAAGGCCATGACGAGAGAAAAAACGAAGAACACGGGGAAGCAGGACGAAAGGGGAGATAGCACCAGAGGACGAACTGAGAGAACGAAAAGAACAAAGACGAACGTGATGAACAGAAAACAAAACAACGAAATAGAAGGAAAGAGATGGACCAGTGCGCCATCGTCTTCGACTTTGTCTCCGGACCAGGGGATGGAAAACTGAGATACGACGGGTAGAGAGAGAACGAAGGAGGACGAACAGACTGCAAAAGACAAACAAGAAAAGATGGCAAAAGAAACGCAAGAAGAGAGGAGGAGCAAACGAAAAACAGAAGCAGAGGGGAGATTAACATCAGCCAGAAAGAACGTCGCCACCAGCTCCAGCAGACCAGGTAAGTATTTCTTCTTCTCCTCCCGCTTTGTAATTTAGAGCATGTTTGGGAAGGTGTTCCTTCAGATTTTAATAATTTTTAAAAACTAAAAACATATATTTTGAAATAAAAAATATTTTAAATTAAAATTATTGTTTTAATTAATTTGGTATCGTTTGCTGTGAATTGTAATTAAACTTTTTATTGTATATGCATGCATGAGTTGATTTATGCGTCCCTACTCCTTCAGCCAGGCCGAACCGGCTGGGTCTTACCCTTTTTATTCCTTTTTATTTTAATATTCAACTAAACAAATTTCTTTTTTATATTAAAAAAATTCTAGAAATTCATGAACTTTTCTGAATTTATTTTTGGTTCTCTGGCATTTGTTTTTATGATTTTTCTATATAATTAATCTGTAAATTTTTACTCTAAAATATAAATTTAGTATATAATATATTTTTAAAAAAATATCATAATATGTATTTAAAAAAATCATTTTATTTATTTATTTATTGAAGTCAAAGTTTTAATATGTAATATTTACAAATAGAAGAATTACAAATATTCGTAGTCGAGCACCGAAATTAAAATATTATAAGAAAATTATAAAAAATAAAACAACATAACCACTTAATAATTTAAAATAAAATTAACAATATACTATATTTTATATAAAACATTTAAATAATAGTAGTATTTTTTCTTTTATTGAACCATTCAAAAACTATAAAATCTTTATTGATTATATAGAGTTTCTAGTAACTATATAATAATTCTTTAAATAAGATATTTCTCATTAAATAACAAATATCATAACTTTATTTATTTATTAAAAACTTTTAAAGTTTTTAAAATTTTAAAATCCATTACGATGCAACAATAGCTATTATTTCAAATTAACACCTTATTTTTCAATGATTTATTTTTATAATTCTAGCTGATTTACTAGATGGTTAATTTACAAAGTTATATAAAATTAAATTAAATTTTTAGAGTTAGGATTGAATGATTATTGCTTATTTTTTTATGGTTAATTTATTAGGTTATATCAAATTAAATTAAGGCAACTCTTTCTTCATGTACTTTATTTGACTCCCAAAAAGGCTCCCGATTATAATAAAAAAAAAATAACAGTCTTTTCTATTTATTTTATACTAATTGAGATGTATTATCAAAATAGCATCATTAAAAAGATTAAAATAGTAAGAGAGGAAAATTTACAAGAATTTTTTAAAAAAAACATACCTTTTAGAAAACAACAAAAGACTTCTTTTCTATTAACAATGGTGTTCACTGACTTATGCAGCTATCTTAGGCTTCAACAGGCAGCAAACTTGGACTTTCAGGCGGTCCATTGACATTTATGCTTGCGCCTTGAATGGCTGCCGTTGTTGACTACTCTCCCTAGCCACCTTCTAGGACCAGGAGAGGGCTGCCCATTCACGTGAATAACAACAACTCCACATAAATAAAGGGCCTCAAATTTATTGAGAAGAAACAAAAGCCAAGATTTTGAGTAAAGAGAGGAAGTAAAAGGGTTAATTAATTCATTAAGTTAAAAAAGGTTGCTAAAGGTTAAACATTAGAAGAGGTTAAGATATGGACTTAGCTATGTAAATCGTATTTTATAAAAATTTAATTTTTTAATAAAAAATTAATTTTTTTATATTTTAAATCGTTTAA